CTTGATCATGCCTGTCCAGTGGTATGGCTGAGGAGCAGATCAGGCAGTTAGATGGAGCACTTTACCCTTTGTTGCTCATACATAGGACACTTCTTGCTCTCCAAAACATTCCTCATCAGGCAGAACTGTTTTCCTTGTTCTAGGCCAAATATGACAGTGGAGAGCCAACCATACCCTCCACCATTGCAGAAGAGTTTACGTACAACCCCTTCATGCGAGTGAGGTATGGACGTGTGGGAATGGCCCTTCTGAGTCTTGTTTGGAGGGGGGGATGTGGGGAAGGTGAGGAGAAAGAGCCATAAGTATGAGTTACTCTCCTGATTCACACATTCTGATGCTCTCAAGACCTTCCTTAAAACTCTTGCATTCTAAAGGAAGTTGGGTAAAACACTTGTCCTGGCAGAGGCTTGGTGCTGTGAAACGTGGGGAGTTGTGGTGAGCATCTCTGACCCAGGAGTTAGAACAAACCTTGCTGTGTGATAATATTCCTTCATCACACAGGACGTGGTAGATGGGTGTGGTATGATGCCACTCAAGGTGCAGGAGCTGATAAGCTCACGCCAAAGTCCTGAGTCTTTGGTCTTAAATGAAGCTTATCCCCATGATGCAGGCAAAATGTGGTAGCAGTGACTTCATGGCCAAGATTTTATCTTGCGGGCTTTGCAGTTACCATTCTGGGTGTTCTCTCCTGGCAGGGAGAAGACAGTTCAGGAGCATGCTGGGGAGACCGACCCCATCCGCACCATGGGGGCCATCAGGAAAGAGAAGGACAACTTCCGTGTCCCGAAGGACTGAGCACTCTGCCTGTGTCACTTTATGGTCATCTAATAGTAACTTAGACTGTTCAGATGTTTCAGAAATCTGTCGTGGTTCAGACAGTCCTATTTAGGTTTCTAGTTTGTTTTAATTAAGAAAAAAAAAAAAAAAAGCACTTTGCCCTTGTTGAGATATTCTACAGCATATTTATATTATGATGAAGAATATTTATCCCTCTGCTGGCTCTCAAGCTGTCACACGTGTCACATGCAGCTCATTTTACAGGTGTTGGTACGCGGCTCAGGGCTGGAATGGGGGTGGCACGGACCTTGAGACCTAGGAACAAATCCCTGCTGTTGCTGTGGGCACCTGATGGGAATGCAGACTGTGGCACTGGGGCTGTTTGAAGCGACCATTTAAAACAGGAATAAAATGCAGTAACTGCCAACTGAAATTTAAACTTTCCTTCCATGCTGCTGCTTATTCAAAGTGCCGCTTCTGGCTGCGTTAAACCTCTTCCCAGTGGCGTAAAGCTGCGGTAACTTTTCCATGCAGAGATTGCACTGTTGCTTCTGCCCTTTCTCTGTTAGCTGAAGCCTGCTTGCATGCTCCTGAGGGTGAGCTGCACTTTACTTGTAGCTGTAGACAGAAAGGAAGGAGGGATTTGTCTGCTGGGAGGTTCCTGTGGGATCAGCTGCAGTGTGCTGCTGTGGTTAATGCTTAACCTGCAGTGCTGTACTGAGCTCATTACCACCTGCATTCCACGCTGTGACCCTGGTCTAAAGTGGCAGTGTGTGAGCAGGGTTTGGTGGAGCACCACTTCTTTATTTGTTTAAAAAAAAAAAAAAAAGATTTTTAAATGTATTTCAGGAAGAAAAAAAAAAAAAAGGTACCTAAAATGTTACTGACTTCTTAAATTCTGTGCTGCTACAACTAAGCATGACTGTACTGGTGGCTGAGGAAATAAACACAGCTGTGAACAGTGTGGCAGTCTGGAAAAGGTTCATCTGCAGCTCCTGCTCTTATTTCTTTGTACCAGCGATTCAAGTCAGCCAACTTAAAGCAGCTTTCTTCTAAATCCCAGTGTGGCACATTTGGGAACACGTGAGGCTTTATTCAATTACTGCCTCAGCCCTGGGGGTCCACGGGGGGAGAACAGCACCTACTGCACTGCAACCCCTGCGCTGGGGGAGCGGAGAGAAGAAGGGGAGGGAATGGGAGGAAGAAGGAAAAGGAGGAGAGGGAGGAAGGAAAGGAGAAGGAGGAAATAGCGGGCCTGAAGAGGGAAGGATGAAGCGATGGAAGGAGGGAACAAAAGGAAGTAAAGAGGGAATGACAGTGGGAAGAAGGGAGGGAGCGAAAGAACGGGGGGGGGAGGAGGAAGCTCCGAGCTCCGCCCCACTGCCCGCACTGCGCCGGGCGGCGCTGCCCGCAGGTGGGGGCGGCGTTCCGCGTGGGTGCGCGGCGGTGGAGCCGCGGGCTGTGCGGAACATGAAGGTGAAGGTGATCTCGGTGCTGGAGGACAACTACATGTACCTGGTGATCGAGGAGAGCACCCGGGATGCGGTCGCGGTGGATGCAGCCGTCCCCAAACGGGTGAGAGGCGCCGGAGCTGCGCGCTATGCCGGCCGGCGGTATCGCTTCTGTTCGCGCGTTTCTCGCTCGGCCGTTTCCTTCCTCTCGGGGCTTTGAGGGCTGGAGGCGGCGGGCTGCTGGAACGGCGGCCGTAAAGTGCCATCGGCCATAAAGAGCCATCGGCCATAAAGTGCCCCCGCCCCGCGGAGCGGCCCCTCCTGCCCCGCCCCGAGCGCTCGGGCCGGCGCCTTCCTTCGTCCCGGCCGCGCTGAGGTTTTTCTCTCCCTGACCCCGCTGCCCTCTGCGTGCCGTGCGGCGGACCCGGCGCTGCGCTGTCACCTCCTCCCTTCACGCCTCGCTTTTGTCCCTTTCAGCTGTTGGAGATCGTCCGGAAGGAGGATGTTGTTCTCCGCGCCGTCCTCAGCACGCATCACCACTGGTAAGCGCAGACGCTGGGAGAGCGCGGGCAGTGCCCCGTTGTGGGGGGTACCCGGTGCCCATTGCCCCTCTGCCACCATAGGGACCACGCGCGGGGCAACGAAGAGCTGGTCAGGCTGTGCCCGGGGCTGCGGGTGTACGGTGCGGATGAGCGCATCGGGGCCCTAACGCACCGCGTGGCCCCCGACGAGGAGCTGACGGTGTGTGGAGCACTGGGGAGGGGGGGGGCGGGGGCGGTTCTGAGCCCATCTCGTGCCCAGCACTTATCTCCATCCCTGCAGTTCGGGGCCATCCGTGTGCGGTGCCTCTTCACTCCCTGCCACACTTCGGGCCACATGTGCTACTTCATGTGGGAGGATGGGTCCCCGGATGCACCAGCGCTGTTCTCAGGTAACTCTTGATGGGCACCCACTGATCCCGTGGGATGAACCCTTTGTACCCCCCGGCTTTGGGGACAATGCCTCACCCTATCCCTGCAGGTGACACGCTGTTTGTGGGGGGCTGCGGGCGGTTCCTGGAGGGGACAGCGGAGCAGATGTACGCCAACTTCACCCAGGTGCTGGGGAATCTGCCCAAGGAGACGGTGAGTGCCCTTCCTCCCCCGCCTCCCTCCCTCCTCAAAGCTCAGCCTCAGCTTAGAGAGGCCCCAGAATAATGATGGAGACACGTGGGGCACGGCGAGTTTGGGAGCACTTATAACACTGGGTGCTCTATGCTGCCCTTGCAGAAGGTGTTCTGTGGCCACGAATGCACCGTCCGGAACCTGAAGTTTGCCCTGAAAGTGGAACCAGAGAATGAAGCAGTGAAGAAGAAGCTCGCGTGGGCCAGAGTAAGCAGCTGTGCCCTGTGGGATGGTGAGGGGCTGCCGGATGCCGGCAGGGTTTGAACATCTCTGGTTCCTCACAGCAGCGGGATGATGAGGATCTGCCCACGGTGCCCTCCACGCTGCAGGAGGAATTCCTCTACAACCCCTTCCTCAGGGTCACGTAAGTAGCATCGGTGCAGGGGGCATGCTTGTGGGTTGGTCCTGAACTGGGTGGGATGGGATGGAGCAGCTCTGTCCTCACGCTGTTGCTTTTGCCCCCAGTCCGCTCCCCATTCTTGCATCCCCCCCCTTCTCCCAGTGGCTTTTCCAATGGGAAACCAAACCCAGATGGAAGGGAGGGTAACCCAGTGTCCTTCCAGTGTCTCTCACTCCTGGGGCTGAGCCCTGTCCCCATCTGTCTCTGTCGCACCCTGGTCCCAGTGCAGCCATTGCCCCTGCAGGGAGGAGGCTGTCCAGAAGTTCACAGGCAGGAAGGAGCCTGTGGAAGTGCTGCGGGCTCTACGGACTGAGAAGGACAACTTCAAGAAGCCCAAGGAGCGGCCCCATCCCCAGGCCATGCTTGCCTTCGACTGGGGACTCTTCGCCCCTTTCCTGGAGAAGAAGTGAGGCTGCACCACCCCACCACACAGGGGCCCATGGAGCAGAGGCACCATCTGGGCTCTGCTGCCCAAAACCCACAGTGCAGCACGGAGCTCTGCACACGGATGGCCCCGCTCAGGTGTCGGCTGGGACAGGGCAGGGACCCAGGAACTGCACCACTCTGTGTCCATTACATTTCTTTTTCCCAATGTAGAACACAGGAAAACTATTGTATGAAGCATTGACGTTGCTGTGCCTCTGGGATGGCAGCATGGGACCCCCACTCCCTGCAGCTTGCAGCCTGCAGCACGTGCAAAATCAGTGCTGTTGTGCAAAACCAATATCATATTTTTTTATTTTTCATTTTTTAATTCTTTTCTTTTAAAATCTGAGAACAGTGTGGAGTTTTTTGCTGGGGCGTTGCATCACAAAACGTAGCGATGCCTTTTTCTTTTTAGAGGGCAGACAGGGCGTGCTGGTGCCTCTGTGCTTGGCTGCATTAACCCCATGTGGTGGTGTGGGCAGGATGCTGCTGGGCAGCCCATCCTTCTGCCTTTACCTCAGTTGTGCACAGTGCTGTGATGCACGGAGTGATGTTGCTGAGCTTCGGCCCGGCTTGTGCAGCTGAAATGCAAACAGTGGAGAAAATAGAGGAGATGGGCCCTGAATAATACACTGTATGATGTCTTTTTGACTGTGCTGATACGAAGCCGCTGACACTGGATTAGAAACAACTTCAGAACCTCTCATGCATGGACTGTGAATAGCATCCGTAGCACCGAACCTGGTTTGTGGCATTCCTTCCCTTGCTAGAAACTTGATTGAGGTTTTCTTTTTTGCTTTTTTTTTTTTTTAATGTTACGTTGTTAAAATTTACACTTCCCTCCAGGAGGGGGAGAATCAGCCCTGCTGCACAAGTTGCCTCAGTGCTGTTGTTTCAGAGATGCCCTAAGGGTGCAGCTGCAGGCGATGCCAAGTGTCATTGGGCAGCCTGGGTGCTTTGCTGTGAGCAGCACTGGGATGCCTGGAGGGATCCTGGCCCAGCACTGGACTTGCTCATGTTGGCAGCAGCTGTGTGCAGCTCAGAGGTGAAATCTAAGCTATTCTTGATGCCATGGTGACAACGAATACCTGGGAGAGCTGCATGGGGTGCTCTGGGTGGAGAGTCCTCTGACAGCTTCAGTACTGTGCTATTCTGGACTGGTCACTGGAGAAGGCAAAATGTGGATCCTTGGTTGTTTAACCTGCAGCTCATTCAGCTGTACTTAATTGTGCACTTCTGTCTAGATGTGCATGTTCTCAGTAGAAACAGAATGTGTTTCTTTTGCACTGATGTATAAAGTTTATGGATTCGGCACTTAGTTTGGCATCTCTCTCTTGCTGTACAGAACAATGTTATGGTTTAGCATAACAGCCTTACAGAACTACGCATGGAAAAGGGCATTGAGCACAACCACTGCTTGCAAAATGAGCGGGGAAGGGATGGGGGAGCAGAGGGAGATTTCTGCCTTATGAACACTGTGAATCTACTGCTTGATCAGCAACACCTGAAGTATGTAAAGCCTTTAATTAAAACCATTACAATTATCTTTTACACTGTTGGCTCATTTTTAATGAAGATTGAAGGAGGATGCAGGGAAGGGCTGCCAGGGAAGCTGTTAAATGAGGCAGGTTAAGGTCTGACAGTTTTGCTTCTTGACAGCCCTAAGCACAAGGTCTGCAGGAACAGTGAGGGTTATCTCTGAAGAGAGCCTGGCCAAGGTTTGAGTCTGGGCTACGTGCAGTAACCAGCTCCATGTCTGTTCTGAAAGAGCAAAGCAAAGTGGCTGCTTTGCGTTCAGTTTTCATCCATTTTACTTCCTGCAGTCGTTCTTCCCCACATAGCAGTAACTGGGAAAAGGAGAAATATTAAGTGAGAATGGGATTTTTAAGCTAGTACTCACTTGCAGCTGCAGCGGGCACAAGGTGGTTCCACATCTGCCAGCATCCCTTCACCCTGAATTAAGGTACAGCTGCAAATCTCCCACTGCCACCTTCCTATGCACTCTGCCACTTTGTGAAACCTGACAGTCAGATTCAGCAGACAAAAGCAGTTACACAGCACTCATAAATAGTTCAGGAAAGATCCATATGTAGAAATACAGATAGTGAGACAAGCACACATAATCTCACAGTGAATTATTTGCATCCAGGTCACCTGGCAAGGCATTACAGCACACAGCTTTAAACCAGGTGTACTTTTGCTAACCACTTGGATTGTTCTGGTGATCACCTGCAGTAATGCTTACATCCTTCAGTCTTCTGTTAACCTTTATAAATTGACACCTTCCAGAGACACCAAAGACTGGTCAAAAAGAAAACTGGCCAGCCATTCTCATTTGATAGGATGTAAAAATGGTTTTCTCTGATTCTAAGGATATTATTAATCAGTAACTGACTTAGAGCCAGGGTAGATGTAGATGGCTTTTTGTTTTTTTAAGCATTCTTTCAAGTCACATTTCAGCAGCCCTGGAGCTAATGTTGCTCTCACAACTGCAGGCTGCTGGGGCTCACCACTCTGACAGTGCAAAGATGCTGCAGCTGTGCTTCAAGGGCATCCAGTCAGGGGCAGTGACACAGAAACACAGAGCCCAAGGTCTAATTAGATCATTTGTAACTAAAGGAAAATGTCCAAACTAAGTCCTTCAGTACCTTAAATCCAGCAGTTCTGGTAGCAATAGGATTGCAAAGGGAGTGCAGATTTAGTCCTAAAATACATTAGTGCTTCTTTTAACAAATTTTCATCACTGTTTAGTTTTTATTCGTATCACTTCAGTTGTCATAAAGCTTGAGGAATTAACACTGCCTGTCTGTATGCACATTACCTTCTCCCTGACTGAGAGTGAGAAACTGCAGTTCCCCAGTGATGGCACAGAACTGTGGCTGTCTCTTGAGAATCGTAAATAGAATCAACTTAAAAGGCACTAAGAATATTCAGGCTTCACAGTCTGCTTCCAGCATCAGCCTTCACCACTTGATGTTAAATCCAGTGCTTGCTTTTTCCACGGCATGGTATTCTGTATGCAGAGCTTTCCCTGCCTTTTCAGACTCAGTGCCACCCAGCCACTGCTCATACAGAGCAGTTACAGTCCGGTTCTCCTCTGGAATTTCAGTCTTAAGAGACTCATACAGCTTCTCAACTTGCTGAAGCCAGTCCTTGCTAGGTTCACCTTCCACTTTGATCTGGCCGCCTCCATTTAAACAACCTAAGTACAACAAAGTGGGGAAACATCAGAGTTTTACAAATTAGTTATCAGGAAAAACTAAAAAAAAAAAATTAAATTACCAACTGACTTTCCACCTATGAACAGAAATGAGAACACCACTGTAATTGTGGTTTATTCCCCAGCAATCTAACACCAGCAGGGCAGGTAGCAGCCCCAGAGGGGAGATCATTGGCCTGGTGTGATCAATGCTAATTCAGCCCAGCTGTGACACAGGGCTCAGGGCATCCTGGGAAATGCCAGTGAAAGAAAGATAAGATGTAGGGAGGGCTGGTTCTTTCTCTTTCCATGAAAAAAGAGCCCAGAATGGCAGCTAGGTGAGAACAGCCCTGCAGCCTCAACTGAAGGTAAGACAAACATCCTTAGGACATGTTCTCAATTTGTTCTTGTGCTGTAGGTGTGATGTAAGTGTTGGACTGCACAGTGTGTGGAAGCCTTAAGCAATGCTTAACTTTTTGGTGCTGAGCAGCCTTTTAGGTTGGAAGTAGCATGGGCCCTCTGGAATAGAGCAGATGTTTGTAGGTAGCCAAGAGTGGCAGCTCAGCATTGCTTCAGGCTAGGTTAGAACTCTGCATACACTGTACTCATAGATTCAAAAAGAACCTGAAGGGGAAAAATGGAGATCTTGCAAGAAGCAGATTAGGGATGGCAAGAAAGACCTCCCCCAACTACAAGCAGCATTCTCTGGAAGTGTAACACTTGTGCAGTTTTGGAGGATGAATGTCTTGATGCACTGCAGAGCTTAAAGTCAGGAGGGCTTCTTTAAAAGAACTACCTGTGATGTTTCAACATGGAACTTAACTGTAATTACTTAAATCCTGAAGAATTGCTGGCTTCCAGTTAGGAAAACACGCGTGCTGCTTTGAACTCTGATGCTGTGACTATCACGTGCCAAGGTGTTTGAAGGCCTTGCCACAGTATCAAGAACAAGAGAAGCTGTCACTGTTTCTTATATTTTAGTTATAATTTTGTGTGATTCCTGCGGGCTGTAACAGGGAAGCCTCTATGCAGTCTCACCTGATGGGCAGGCCATGACTTCCACGTAGTGATAGGGTGACTTCCCCCGCTTCAACTTCTGCACTAAGTTTTGTATGTTTCGAAACCCGTATGCCAGAGCAAACTGGAGCAGAACTGCTCCATCCTTCTCCAGTGTCACCTCTTGGAAGTCCTTGTTTCTGAGGAAGAAGAGAGAAAATGTCTTATCCGAATTAGCTTCTATATAAACTTCAAAGAACCCTGTGTTGAAACAAAGTTCTTTGTGAATCCTTAGGAAAGCTGTCCTGGTTCTTTGCCACCCAAACAAAACAGATGAAGGAACCAGCTTACAAATCCTTTTCAGGCTTTTCCTGTTTGAGCACCCACTGAACTGAGTTTATTGAACACTTGTGTTGAATAAATCCTTACAACCTAAGCAAATTAAACTGAACTAAGGTTTCATTGTGACAGGCCACCTCAGCTGGCTTCAGTCAACTCATATGTCAGTGAGTGCACTGAAGGAAGCTCTTAAATTGCAGTGGATCATGAAACTAGGGAGCAAATGACCACTGAAGACTTCCAGACTCCTAACATTAATGGGGATGCCTGTTCTTGATAAAAGTAATTTGACTTTTACTATTTTGTATTGAGACTGTGAGGGACTGTTTTGTACACCAGAGAATTTCAACCATTAATAATGCTTATCAAGGATACAACTCATTACAAATGGTACGTTAAGATCTGGGAAGCTAGCAGGAATTGCAGCTTTTTGGCCTCTGTACCCAAACTTAAGTGATTTTCTATCTTAACCACAACAGTTACAGCACAGCTCCAAAGTCCTGACATGAGATTTTTGTTCTGTGATATCTAGATTAGTAACAAAGCTCTTTTATCAGCCTGATTGCAGGTGAGACAACTGAGATCCCTATGTGCTCTGTCTTCTAAATTGCTCTGAAAGTTGTCTGCAACTTGATACTGGGAAAATCTATCAGGCCAAAAGTGTGTGGGTGGTGAAGGGGCTCAGAGTCTCCAAAGGCCAGGCTGCACGGAGTGCTGGCTGATTTATGGCTCAGCAACTGTGGGAGTGGGAAGCTGATTCCCATGCCTCAAAGGAAAACGTGTAACTAAGCAAAGAAAGTGAAGCCCATCTGAAAGATAGCAGCATAAAAAGAATTGCAATAAGAAAAACAAAATAGTACTTGTTGTAAAAGCTTTAAACTTCATACTTTAAAGGCTTGTACTGAATTGTATCCACTTCAATGCCAAAGAGTTCCTTGGCTGCATACTTGTATATGTGCTCCAAATAGCCACCAGAGCCACCTCCTGAGTGGCCAGTGAGTTCCTCCTCTGTGGCACTATTAAACCTGGGGAAAGGGAGGAAAGAAGTGGTTTTAGTGATTCAATGGAACAGACAGCACGAAGCCCACTGCTCCCTCACACAAAGAGAAGCTTCATTAGCTCAGTGCCAAAATATCTTCAGTACTACTAATAGAAACACGATGTTGCGAGTCTTGTGGGACTTTTGATAGTGGAATTATTCATCCAGGGAATTCAAAAGCAGCAGAACAAGCCAGGCACCAGCTCTCTCTGAGCTTCAGCCCTTTCCCTTTCTCCTGGGAACAGATTATTTTGGTCTCGGGCTCTGCAGGTTTAACCCTATGCTGTCTAATGTTCTTTGGGTCAAACTCTGTGGAAACACCCTCACTGGATCTGACCCTGCTGCCAACTTCATCTTCACATGCCAAAAATATTTGGGAACATTTCAGTTAGAGGGCAATTGCTTGAGAAGTCTCAAATCAACATTTTTTGTTAGTTTACTGTTCAGTGGCTCTATGAACAGCTTAGATTACACTTGGAAATGGAAGGAGGGAAATGATGATGGTATGGACCTGTGTGGCCTATGCCTCCCTTGGAAAACACAATCAGAGAGAAGTCATCAGGAGACATTTCAGCAGTCCTGAAGTCTTTTTTGCAGCACCACCAAAAGCTGAGCTCATTACTGAACCAGGTACTTTTATGTGGTTGCCAGGACAGGACAGAACACTTCTGGAAGGTTCTGGTGCTGCGATTCCAAGCACAGAGATGAAACCTTATTTGCTGTGGTTTCATGTGGTTAAAGTTAGTGTACAGATGAACAAACCTTGCAATGCCAGGGCATTTGCCCTGTACATGGTTGTCCTCAGCAGGACCCTGCTTCAAGTTCAGCACACTGCTGGTGTTGTACAGCCACGCTTGTGTAATAACAGAACCTACATGTTCAAGTTCTGCACAAATAATTCCATCCCACTGATTTGCCAAAACACAACCAAGTATTCAGAGGTCGAGATAGTGTTTCTTGAAAACAGCTTACCAGATGGAAGCTACAACAATAGCTTTTGTTATGAGAGAATAATAAGATGAGGGATATGCTTCTAAGTGCTCATCAGGCAGTGACACTTGCATTTTCCTACTAACAGCTGCAGAAGGGAAAACACTTGAATGCAGGCCAAATAGCTTCAAGTCAAATGGAAGATGCTGCCTCTTGCAGATAAAATCTCAGCTTTAGAAAAACTGCAGAAGGCAACACGTTAGCCTGTGAGGGCATTCAGAAACTATTTTTAATTTGATCTTGTTTACAGGAACTGAGCTTCATTAATGAAATGTTTCAGTGTGTCTGGCCTCACGTACTGCAACTCTCTTGAAAAGAGGCTGCCAGTAAGCATCAGTGCTGGCCTGAAGCAAGCAGTTATAACAGCAAAAGTCCTGGGATTTCTGGCACTTCATCTCATGCTCGCTGCCAAATGTAATAACCTCTCAATGGGCTTTTCCACGTGCTGGAGGATAAAGCAGAACAACAGCCATTGGGCTGCTTATGTTAGTGCTCCAAGTTCTGAGGAATACGTGCTGTTTATAGGCAGTCAATTTACTGCTTATAAACTGAGTAAGTTAAAGCTAGCAAAAGGTTACAGAGGCGCTTTATCACCACGAGCATGAGGTACTGCCCTCACAATGTACTCCTAAGAAGTTAGCCAGAGATTTTTATCAAGTAATTAGACATTTTGTTCTATCTTATAACTGACACTTCCATAATGTTATTTCCTAACAGAGTCCAAACACTTGAGAATGTTTTTATAATCTCCCTGATTTTCTGCTCGCAGTATAACAATAAAGCAGGTAGAATAAAATGCTTATTTATGTGGGCAACTGCTGAAGTTGACTTTTTGGGACACAGCCATGCAGACCTTTATTACAGTGGAGGATAATTTTTAGATTCGAAAGGAATTTGTGCACAAACCATTTTAGAAAAAGACAATACTGGAAGGATTCATAACCTCAGAATGCATAAATACATCTGTGCCAGTAGAACACCTTACAGGCATACACCAAGAAGTGTGACCAATGCTGAAAACAATGCAAGCAGAACTATGAAACAGGCCTCGTGTAAGGACACTTCTGCTTATGGTTCTGGGAACATACACGTGCTAATCAGGCATCTCCTCAGCAAAGGCTGCCAGTTGCACTCAGGACTGGGAAAAAAATTAAGCCCTATTTAGAAATAAACCACAGTGTCACATCTGCAAAGGGAGACAGCTGTCAGACCACTGTCACGTCCTGTGCGTGTGCTATCTGGGCTATCAAAATCCCTTCTGAAAACTCTGAGCAGTAGACTTGAACCACGTTGTCAGTAACTGTTAATACTATATAAAGGTTGCTACGTATGTAGCCTTTCTCTTTTTTATGGTAATAAAGTGCTACAAAGACATTTCCTAGAAAGAGAATGCTTTGGTTTAGTGATCAGTGTGGAGCCACTACTGAATGTCAATTCAGAAGGCTAAAATCTGATTTCAATATTTCTCCAGGCTCTCAGATCTTTGCAGTCATCACTTAACCAGATGTTAGCTTTCAGTTAATGCAACTGAAGTCTCATCTGGTTTGCACGTGTTTAAGTTCTCATGTTTTCACAAAGACTCCTTCAGATGAGTTGTGACCCGAATATTTTGCTTCAATCTTTACAGTAGCTCAGATAATGAAGGAATATAAGCAAACTGAGTACAGCCCTGTAACAGGCTTTGTTACAGCACACTTGTATCACTGATCTACACTCCTCCATGTTTCTAAGTTTGCAGTTAGAATTTATGGGGGTTCCACCTGCTATACTGTAACAGTAAATGGTTGTGATACAGTTTGTACTTCTCTGCATAATCATTTTGCAATCATACTCTTACAGAGCAGTTTTACAGTTCTGATTATTTAGAGTAAGAACCGCTAATCCCTGGACTGCTAGGATCCAGCAAATAGTTACAGGTTGACTGTATTCTGTAGCTAATGTACTTAATGCACAGCTGTAGTGATTTGAAATTACTGACAAAAAAAAAGACCATAAAATGCCAACACGTGCAGCCTTATGTGTAGTAAAATAGTAGTAGGAAGTGAATTCTGCTGAACTTGATATGGATACTGGATGGAAATGAACATGCTTGAAGGTGCAAATGAGATTTCTTACATGGTATCCAAAGGAGCAGGATCTACATCTGAGAGAGACACTTTTTCTTGTTCCAACAACTTCAGCACTTCTCCTAAAACAGAACCACAGGTACAAAAAGCTTATTTTGGAGATTAAAAAAATGAAATCCACGGATCAGTATCTAAGCCTGCATATAAACTCTGTACCACGACGTGAGTGGCGTTTCTGGAGATAAACTATAGAACACTATCCATGCATTACATCCATCACTGACAAAGGATCATTAAAACCAGTCCAGAAATGATCTAGGCTGCCTCTGGCTCTGCCTACCTGTGGTGATCACACAATCCACATCACGGGTCTGGAACTCTTGGTTGAAGAAGTCTGGCCTTGAAGCCTCCAGCTTCTTGTCATAGCAGGGCATCACTGTTACGTGGTATATCTTATTAGGTGTTAAGTGCTGGAAAAAGACAAAGCAGTTGCATTGGTCAATATCAAAACTGTCTTGTGGGAGGTGTTTTCCAAGTATAAATGAGAGTGATGAAACTAACAGTGCCATGCTTCTGGAAATACTGTCCTTTATTACTGAACATGAAAAAATACATTTTTTTCTCTCATAGAACCCAATTCTAGTCTGTAGAAAATGACAACAGAAAGGTCTCCCATGGTCTTTCCACCCCACTTTTCCTAGTGCAAATGATCCAAAGTCAATCAGTGAAGAAATCCTAACTGTTCAGTTAGATGACACGTTTCTTCTGTGCTAACTAAGATGCAGCCCCTGCATCAGCAACTAAGAAACGATCAGAAGTTGGACAAAATCCTCATGGCCATCCAGCAAAATAAGCACAAACTGAGGAAATATGTCACTGACTCAAGGCTATTGTTTCACTATCTTGTGCCAAATATTCTTAACAGCTGCCAATTTTTGTAATAAGCATGCATGTGTCAGCATTTGTTTAATGCAACTGTTAAGCCAGTGCTCATTAATGGACAATAAATCATACAAGCATTCACGGTGCTTAAGTTTGCTGCTGGGCAACTCTGGGCTATAGCACTAGACTTTAAGCACCAAATTTGCACTTGGAAAGATTCCAAAGGTTAAAGAGTGAGAACAGAACTAAGTAAAACTGAAAGAACACAAAGTTGGGAAAGAGCAAGCAGTTTTTAGACAAGACATGATCTGCACGTACGCACTGACCCAAGTTTCATTTTGGGATAATTTATTTTAACTTGTTCACAGCCTTGGACAGCAGGAAAAAAAGACACACAGAAACAAGTGAGATATAAGCACAAGAATCATGAAAAATCAGATTCCTTAGACTTTCAGAATAAGATACAGAGATTTCAAGTAATCCATGAAGCGTGAACTTAGTGCTGCTGTCCCATTTGCAAGTTTCTCCATAGGAATCACAGAAGTGAGAGTGATGGTGCCTTCACTGGCAATTTGCAAGATAAAACCAAATTATCTTCAATCTTTAATGTAAACAGTACAGGAAAATGTATCAGTTGTGTTCAATAAACCTTACCTGCTGCTCTGCAAAATGGCCCTTTATCAAGGAGCCCATGATCTGCTGTGGAGACTTAGTGGTGCTGATGTAAGGAATGATGAAACTGCCATGGGTTTTCTCTGCATAGCAGATCCAACCTAAAAAGAGAACAATTAGCAAATAGTTGCAATCAATAAATATAAATATACATAAAAAGGTGTATATATAAATAACAAGCACCCCTTCACTCTGCCCAAAGCCAACCCCAGCCTCGCCACCCATTCATAACCATTTTCAGACTCAGTACAAAAGGCAAAGAGATGTAACAATTCCATTTATAGAGATCAGTAGGTATTTCTATAGACCATTACCACTATTAACACCAAGATCTCTTTGTAAAGAGTAATATTTTAAGCAAATTAACCCATATGAACTTTTCTGAGTAGCTTTCTGAGTTCTTGTATGGGTGTATTACTAGAATGACATCTTATTAGTCCTATAACTAATTTTGTACTGTACCTGGACAGGCAGAAGCTAGCATTGGCAAAGCCTTTTTGTCTTCAGATTGCTTTCGAAAGCGTTTTACAAACTCTTTTTGGCTCTCCAGCAGGCTGAAGTTTCTTGAGAAAGTTGTGTCAAACACGTAGTGCACACCTAAGTGGTACAGCATGCATATTAAAGTTCACAAAGAAGATACGAGCAGCAAGCTACACGTCCTATTCACAGCTATCAACCTGTGCTTGAGAGTGAACCATTTTCCCCAGCACATCAGCACAGTAAGACAAGAGCAGAAGTCATAAGAGGCATGAGAATAATTTAAAGCTCCTTTCCTCCATTACTCCAAGTTTATGTTGTGACTGAAGTTGCACAAAATTTGTGTTTAATTCATATCCCCTTGGTGAGCTCATAAAAGCTGTGCCTGATGTACAGCCAGCAGTCCCCTCTGAGATGGTAGGGCACAATGCAGCACTTGCCTTGACTCTTTAAGAACGCAGTCAACTTCTTTGCTGTTTCCAGAACACTCATTTTACATTTTGCAGCTAATGAAGCCCTGGACTGTGGTGAAACAGAAACCACCACCAACTTCTGTTCACTGGGAGCTGCAGTCTTAAAAAAAATAAAAATAATAATAATAATAGAAAAGAGCTGTTCAGACAGTATTAATACAGCACATGCAGCAGTGCAGCATGCTAGAACTTCAGCAAATATCTCCCAGTATTACTCCCAAGTTCCTAATGCAGTAACTTACTATGTTAAAAAGCTATTTCCAAACCTATGACAACTTCTTAGAAATTAGAAAAAAATCTACTCTGTACTGAGAGTGTATTCAGATTTTATGTGTACAGCTGCAATGTGTGCTTCTGCAGATGCATCACACCTAGATTAACATCTATTAATTCTGCAGCCTACCTACCCCTGTCTCATCACCTACCTTGTTAAAAGATAGAGTTTTGTAGAACTCTTCATGGCTCTGTTGAGTGATTAAGACACTTTCTGCTGATGTAATGCAGCCACTGCAAGCTAAACAGTCATTCAGAGTAATTTTAGCCTTCTCCAGTTTCTGTGCTCCTCCATCCTGGGAAGAAACAGATGAGACACAGTTTTGGTCACAGTACAGAATTGAGCAGGGTAGCAGTTTCTCACCTTTACTGTGTTTAGTAACACAGATACTGTCCTCTTTGCCCTCCTGGCTTATCAAGAGCAGAAGTATTTTTTTTTAGTAAGACACGGAGGAAGACAGGCATCTTTCAAAGATTTCTTCAAAGAAAGAAGATTCCACAAAGAAGGAAGAATTCCATTCTTCATGGAATTTCTTGGCATGCCTAAGCAAATATGTTGAGAAACTTTAGGAAAACTTTAGCAAGAGCAAGAGCAATAACTTGTTTTTTTTCTATTAAGAATAGAACAGTTGCTCTGGCCACAATAATTTCTGCTACCAAGTGGGCTGATGCTGCTTCAGAATACTGGCATTATTCTTTCCCAGGTGCAAATACGGCCCTTCTTGCTAGATTGCAGCTGCAGTTTTAACCACATAACTGTAAACCACAGTTCCTAAGCCTTGAAGCACCAACCTCCAGCATGCACTGAACTCTGCACAGCACAGAGCACGCCAGCTTTGCCACCCCTCCCAGATGCTGCTTATACTATTGAATACTGCAACCATTTCTCCAAAGGAATCTTGAGTTTCTCTCCTTCTAAAGAGATTGTGTAACTGGATTACAAATGTGTTACTATTCTCAATTGATGCTGAATGTAATTTTGGTGTGTGCGAAACTTGCAGAGGGAAAACTGTATGGCAAAGTATCAGTGTGTGTGATGCTTTCTAATCTGTGATTCTGTGATCTTTTCTGGGTAAACAGGAAAATCCTAGCTTACAAATTCTGCATGGTGTTTAACAAATTTTAAAGTATAACATAAAAAAAATGAGAGAAAAATTTAAGAGTATTTAATTTAATCTCTTTTTTTGAGTAAGGACTTCACTGTATGAAATCATGCAGTAAGAAAGGACATTGTCTCAAATAATGTAGGACAGCAAAACAAGAATTCTCAGCTTATCTGCTCTTAGAATAAAGCCCACTAGTAATCAATGTCAGTGACTCAGAGCATGTAACAAAACTGACTTACAAAACCTAATAATTTAAAAGGTAGACTTTGGAAAAAAAAGGTTTGTAACAAATGTTGCTGTTGTCATCAGCATTCTCACATCTCGGTCCTTAAATAGCTGTGTCCTGTTTAAATACATAACAATCCATTAGCAGTGTCCAGATGTTTTACACTAGTAAAGAAAAGTCAGGCATACCTGAGTGATCTGAAAATAGCTCCCATCGGCTTCGATTTTGATCTTAGCTGCTGCTTTCCCAGGCTTTTTTTCCACCTTTACAGGTTTGACACATTCCTAAAAGAGAAATAAAAGGCAGAAGTTGAAGAGATGAGCGGTGAAATGGGGAAGGCAGGTTTAAAATAAACCAGAATTATCAAACCCAAGCAATCATTCTCGAGTGAACGTCCATCACTCCGCTTTAAATTATGCTGGATCTACTGACTGTGCCTACGGCCACCAAGGGAAAACAAAAAGGCAGAATCTTACCCCTTTTTTACAGAATGAACACTTTGTCAGCATCACACCAAAGCCAGAGGTGACTGCGCCCCTTCTGAACAACAGAGCTGTGTTCTAAGGAGCCCTGACAGGAACACAGGCTCTCCTGCAGTGCCATCCCCCCCACATCTGACAGCTGAGCTCCCGTTCCTCGCTGCACATTGCAACGGATGGAGGCGTGGCCATGCAGCATTGCTAATGAAGTTCCGTGTCGTGTCGGAACGACCCTGACAGCCTCGGAAGGGCTGCCTGCAGATTTCTGTACTGTTCTATGATCGACTCTCAAGGGCGCTGCAGCATTTTGTGCCATTTTTATTGTTTGTGCGCCTTACGGCTCCTCGTCCTATTTCCACAGCTGCGACTCGCTTTGTCTCCCAGCAGCTCCCTTGCCCTGTCAGTATCTTTGAGCAGATTAAGGCTGGCCCCGCGGTTCTCCAGGCGTTGGTTTGCCCCCCGAGCACCCACCTGCGAGGGCCCGATGTAGTCGTCCAGGTCCGTCAGCTGCAGCACCCCGCTGAACGGAGACGCCATCGTCGCCGCGCCGCCGTGAGGCGCGGCAGCCGGCGGGTGGGCAGAGCTGCGACGCTGTCGTAAAAGTGCGATGCCACACTGCCGTCAAGCGAGGCGCGCTATCATGAAACGTGCTAAGGAGCGCGCGTGCGTGGAGTCGTGCAGGTTCTGTGGCTCAGGGTTCGGTGTGGGAGCTCGGCTCGGTGCTTCGAAGGACGCAGTTTGGTTTCCATGAGTGGATACAGTGGTGTAATGATTGCTGAAGGCTGCAGATTGGGGTGTGGTGTTGCTTGAGGAAATCTGGTGGGGTATCTTGAGCCCACAAAGCTCTTGAGTTGGCCGTGCAAATTCTGGCATGTTGCTTCATGGCCTGTATTTCTCCCGTCCTGGAAATCAACAATGCAAGCGAAACGCCTGCAGGTGGCTCCGTGTACTGCTTTGAACATGACGTCCAGCCAGGCTTATTGGTAGTCTCGCTTGGTATAGCCTTTTCATCAGACACACGTGTGACACAAAGGGGTTGAAGCTTCCCTAGCCTGGTTTAGAAAGCACTGTCTGCTAGGGGTGTGACATTACTATGAACTGAAACAAATTCCTTGCTGGTGATAGCAAGGTGCTGTTGTGGGGAGAAAGTGCTTCAAAAGGGTGTTTAAAGCTGGGGCTTAGGGTCAGTCACATAACAAACTGAGGTAGGCTTTCAGTTTGTGAGCGGGATCTCTGACTCTCCTCAGGCAGGCTCTCTCTTTATTCCTCCTCTCTTAGGAGTGCATGTAACATCACCATCTGTAGGTGGCTGTGTATGCACCCGTGCATGTCTACCTATATACAAAGCAGAGAGGGAGGTCAGACTGCGGTGTTACATCACAAGGTGTCAGCCTCACTGTAAGGGGAAGCAACTGAAATCACATAAAGATTTTTAGCAGGTAGCTGACTCATACAGGAGACCATTTTCTTGAAGCTATAGAGTACAGAGCTGCTTTGTACTTGGGAGTAAGGAGTGCCTGACAATTATAGCTATTTTTTGCTGCACTTGAGTGCATAATAGAGATGTCCAAGTGCTGACGGTACTTCAGGGCAGGATGGAGCAGAAGCATTGCTGGATACCCACAGCACCTCACCCTTTCATACCTGGTGCTGTAGAAGGTGTGTGCTTTGGGAGGACCTGTTCACAGAAAGAATTGAGAACGTGGCACAGCAGCTGACACAAGTAGCACTGTTCTTGGAGTGCTGGATGCCAAATGCTTTTAATGGTGTGAGTTTCATGGTACAGCCAGAACTAATGGCCAAAGACCCAACGTTGTAACAGCCTGGTTCTTTCTAAGCAGTCTTTCAAGGCTGGGCTGGGCTCCCAGGACCATGTGTGAGCTCTGCTTTTCCGATGTCAGTTACCTTAAAGCTGGTCATGTTTCTTAAACCTGGCTGCTGATCTGTCAGGAGGACTTCTGTACCCAGCTAAACAGGGCTAGGGCACTGCTAAACACTTCTGCTCCAGTGCTGCCAGTTACAGTACCAACATGAACAGAAACCTTGCCAAGAAAGAGGAAGAACAGATTTCACAGTACCTCTTTTTCAGTTTTATTAAGCTTATAATTCAGGAGGTTTGACTGTTAGATGTATGTGGTTTTTGTCTTTGTGCAACTCAAAAATGATTATAGAGAAGGAAGTAGAAAACAAGCAGAATCTCATGTGAAGTTCTGCAAAGGGTGATGTGATGGTTGAGTTTTACTTCTAGCTGCTAGTAATATTTGGTGCTCTTTGGCTTCTTTATCCCCACTCTTAAATCAGCTCCTGTGCCTTTTTGTTTGTCTCTGTGATACTTCTTTTAATAGTGTGCAGTGGGAGTGCTGAGTGTCCAGAGCAGGGTTTACTGTGGAGTTACTGGAGGAGGAGACAAATCAAAACTGGGTTTTTTTCCTGGGGTGGCCAAGGAATGGGCTGTGTGAAGGTAGGCAGGTCTCTGAGACCTCTGGCTTTCTTGTCTTCTCCTTTGCAGTTCAGAAGTAGCCTTGAGTGAAGACCTGTTAGTGCATGGAGGTAAGCATTGATGCTCTTGCATGAACTGTCAGAAACAAACCTTCAGTGCTTCTTGTTGACCCCTCTGGAATTTGTAGGTGTGGGCACAATACCATCTCAAAGCCAATAATATTTATTTTCACATGTTCCCTGCTTGTAACCGAATGCTTAAGCAAGCAGAAGTGAGACAAGTTGCGTGTTGAACCAAGTACTGCCTTATTTATAAAAAAACTTCCTCCAGGTGACATTTAACGAGTAGGTACGCAATTCTGCAGTCACAGAGCTGGATGTGACCTGCTTACGCATTCTTTGGAAGATCTGCACCAAGATAAGGGTCAGCCCTGTTGATTTGAAACTAGACATGCACTGTTAGTAGGTCTGAGAGTATTGTTCACTTGCTTTCTGAACCAGTGGCCACTTTTACTGCTACAAGAAATCCACAGAGACCATAAACCGTGTGATGACTAACCTAGGAACAATCTCTCATGTTTTTGGGAACTGAAAATGAAGTCTTAAGGAACCAACATAAATGTCTCTATTTTTTCCACAGACATGTCCTTTTCATACCCCCCGCCTATATCTCAGCTTGTAACCGTTCAACCTCCTTGGTCTTCGTGGCAAACCACATGTAAAAAGGATGTGAGATGAGGATGCTGGAGGACAGCTTTCAGATCTCCTCTCTGCTGCCCTGAGACTCCCCAGTGTGCAAACCTCTACCTGAACTCCGACCTCATCCAATGATGGACATATCAACAAGACAGATGATATAGCTTTTGCTGCCCCAATTTACCTTCCCTGAAATGTGTATAACCTTACCTAACCTAATTTACCTTTCTTTTCTGCAAGTAGGAAGCAGCAGTTTTAATCAAGAGCAGCTGGAGCGAAGGCAGGACTGTTCTGCAATGGAAGCACTAAGCCATAGAGCAGTGATTGGTTTGATGCCAATGAAATCACAGTTCTCAAGTGTGGATATTTATTTAGCAGTGTTTCCTTGTTTGCATTTTTAGTGAGATAAGTAAAGGAGAATTTTCGCAGAGGCTTAATTCAGTTGTGGGGGAGTCTTCCTTTGTGTGCCAAGTCCCAGTAAGTCTGAGATCTGTACAGGGAGGGTAAAATAAGAGCTGGGTGCAAGCAATGACTGTACAATAGCCCTGCCTTTATGGTCTTGAAGCTGCTTATGTCTTAGATTTCTATTAGTATCTATGTGTGATGGTCATGGATAAAAAGAATTTAGTTTTGCTGTTAGAGTTGCATGCCTCCATATCCTCTCTTTGTACCTGGATCGTGTTGTCCCTGCTGGGTCCTGACAGTTTTCTTTTTCATGAGGCAACTAACGTAGGAACAGAAAACGTCAATTATTTGAAAGATACCTCCTCACTTCCAGTTGCCTCTTTGCCCTTCTGTACTATCACAGCAGTTTGATTTTCTTCCCTGGCAGCATGTGTTTGCTTTCAGCCTTCAGTATTTCTTTTTACAACTTTTATGCCATCTGCAACATTTTTATTTTTTTTTTTTAACTGCCCCTTTTGGTTTCTCTTCAGCAAACTTTATTTTGTGCTCTATTGTTCCCGTTCTTAAACCTCTCTTTCTGGTTCTGGGGCGCACAGTAGGGCTGTGTGACCCCTGTGAGTTGTGGTAGCCCATGCAGGCTTGCAGATGAGCTCAGCGCTGGTCTGACATTAGTGAAAGCCTGACCACATCTTGTACAAACTCATGGTCAAATGTTCTTCTTAGCCCCCCTAGGGTAGTGGTCTCCCATACAGTTTGCTTGCTCTTGGGCCCATGTTTGGATGGGAAGTTTGTCTGCGATGTGAGCATGTATCTGCTGGCCTGGCTCTGCTTCCCCAGCTCTGTCTACCTAATGGGAGATCTGACTTTTCTGAGGCAGCCTGAAGCCCCTGTAGTTCTGCATGAAAGCTACAGGGAAATGCAGCGACTGGGCTGAGCAGGGCGTGTGGTCTGCGTGGCAGAGATGGGATCGAGAGAGATTTACTGCCTGCTGCCACACCTGGCTTAACATGGCAGGAACACATCGACGACCAATTGTATAATTTAGGGTTGCTGAATAACACTTGAGCTGCCCTCGATGTCTCTGTCAGGCTGGGAGAGTAGAGGGTTGTGAATGCACTGACTCATTTTCCCATGGCACAAATGATGTTTTAGGCCTGGCCCATTTCTAACCACCCTCTGCAGGTTTCATTGACTGCCCTCCTTCCATGACCCTTCAGTGTGAGTGTTAAGAAATCATGATTCAAAACTAGGATTCATTCCCCACTTGCTATTGCAGGGAAATTTATGCGTTTGAGGAGGAGGTGACATAAAGACATTGGATTATTTGCAGTTTCAGGAGAGGGATGATTGCAGGGAGGGAGGAATGCAAGAAGGAAGAGAGGCGGAGAGAGGTCTCAGTAATGGCATTGAACTAGAAGTGACTGTACAGGTGAGCTCTAAAATCCCTCTCACATGCCAATGCAAGCTGCAGGCACTTCTGTCAGCAGGGCTGTATCCACTGGTACCACGGGGCAAGGGCTGACTGAAATCTCTTTCAGTTTTGTGCTTCTCACATGAGATGGGACCTCAAACTGTTTCGCACCAACAGGAGTTTTATCAGCATTTGTGTTACATGCTCTGTGTTCCCATTAGTTTGTGACTGAGGGGCTGCAAAGGGAGAGAAGTTCATCAAAGGTGGGGAGAGCAGGGCTTACGAAGGGCAAGTTGTGGAAATGAAGTTAATGACAGGAAGAGCTTTGCTTTTGGAGAGGTGGTAGCTGAGGGCGTGCTGGACTCCATCCCCTGAAAGACTTGTCTACCAGGTGTGGGCTGCAAATATCTCATTCTGGCTTAGTCACAGCTGCTGCCTGAATTGCTTCATGTTGCTAAGATAATAGGAATGAAGCACCTGCACCACGTCTTTTCTGGGTAGCACAAGGGTTATTACCAAATCTACTTTTCTAGATTGATGTCACTTTGTGAGAGGCTGTGATGTTCTCCTGTCTGACCACCCATCTGCAAATCTTATCCTCATCTCGAAGCTGTGCTGCCACGCACGGTTAATGCTGCTGTGATGATGTGG